CTAGTTTCAATTCGATCTTTGTGGAGAATTTCATCGCGCTCCTCTAATACGAAATATTTGTCCTAGTTTTATTCACATACATACATGTTTGATATAAGACTTCAGTTGCTTCGCTAAAATGGCGAAACCTGAATTCAAATATCGAGCGATAAAAAATCTACGCAAACAAAAAAATTTTCCCACAGTGATATTGGCTGTAGGATTAATTCCAATAACTAAATTCGTTACGATCTGGTTAATATTCTTTGGACTTACTATTTTTAGTAGGATTGTACATGCTTTTGCTTTTGATCTGACATTCTTCTTTAATTGAAGCGGTTCATCGTCACCTTCATCGGCTTTATCTACTACAAATAAATTAGCATGGGACAGTTATAAGAGTTAAGAGTTATACAACAACTAAAATTATAAAACAATTATAATGTAACAATTCTAATTGCAATTGTAATTACAATTAAAAATTAAAATATATTGGCAAACAAAATACTTACATGCTTGGCAATTTTAAGGCCTTTTCGGTTAAGCGACGATAAATTCATCCAGCAGTCCTAAAGCGAAGACGAGAAGAACGATGACGACGACGACGACGAGAACAACAGCAACGAGGACGACGACGAGAACAACAACAACGAGGACGACGACGAGAATAACAACAATGAGGACGACGATGAGAATAACAACAACGAGGACAACGATGAGAACAACGACAACGAGGACGAAGACGAGAACAACGACAACGAGGACGAAGACGAGAACAACTACAATGACGATGAGTAGAAGAACATCGACGCTTCAATCCACATGCGTTAAAGCGGCTACGTATTGCATCCAGCTATTTCCATGCCTGGAATAATTCAGTTTTTTAATAATTCAATTTTTATTATAAAAAGTGTATGAAAATTAAAAATTAATATCAAATTAAAAATTAACATCAAATCTAAAGCCATTGCGAAACACCTAATATTATGAAGTATAATATATACTTATAATATAATGAAATAATGAAAACATACTCTATCATTTCATGGGAAGGGTGAGTTATCACAAAAGCGCATGATTCCGAACATCATTGAAATATATGCCTGGAATAATTCAGTTTTTTAATAATTCAATTTTTATTATAAAAAGTGTATGAAAATTAAAAATTAATATCAAATTAAAAATTAACATCAAATCTAAAGCCATTGCGAAACACCTAATATTATGAAGTATAATATAATATAATATAATGAAATAATGAAAACATACTCTACCATTTCATGGGAAGGGTGAGTTATCACAAAAGCGCATGATTCCGAACATCATTGAAATATCGTTGACTTGAGCAGCATTAAAATTTTTATCTCTGAAATGATTATTAATGAAATAAACATAAGAAAAATGAAAAATGCCAAATATACCAGAATATTTTTTAAATTTTTTCAACAGAATATCATCTATAATGAATGTAAAAAATTATGAACCTGTGAATAAGTCGCATTTCTTTTCAGCAATTTAGAGAATCTCATATAATTTTTGAAAGGCCTAATGCGATTCTTACTTGCACAGATTTGTGTATAGTATCTCTCTCCGGTTATTTGAGATTTGCCTAAATAAGCACAAATGAGCACAAAAATTTCATTCCAAAAAAAAAAAATTATTACCACAAAATATTGGAACCATCCACGTTCAAAAAGCTTCATATGTACTTCAGCTTCGCTTTTACACAGGGTTCCCTTCATTGTCAAATTATCATTTCAAGCGTTGCAAACTTTTAACAAAATTTCCTACAAAAAAATAATCTCTTGTCAGTAATTTGAAAACAAATTTAAATTTTAAAATTTCATAATGAAAACCTGAAGAAATACGTCAACTGACTCGAAAAATTAAAAAGAAATTTCGTTTGCTTAATACAGATTATTATTATTATTATTACTCACCTATATTCCTCTTTTAGTCCAATTCATTTGGCCGTAAGTGGCAAAGTTCATTGACATTTCATGGGTGATTCTCGGGCGAATTTAAAAAGATTATAAAAATTTGCAAAAAAGGCAAAAATAAAAGTTAAAAAGAAAAGGGAAGATAAAAGATCACGACGAGAAAAACAACGACGACGGCGACGATAACGACGAATAACGACGAATAACGACGATAACGACGACGATAACGACGATAACGACGACGACGACGACGGCGAGGATAGCCAAGACGTTAACGTCCCTGCCCAAAACCTCCACGACCCCTATTTCCTACCATTTTCCTCACCCTTAACCCTTCCTTTCCCTCACCCTCCACCTTCCCTCATCGTTCCCATATCTCGAATGAACAGGAGTGATCGTTTGCGAGTTTTTATAGCGCTATTAGCGGGCAAAGTGTAGATCTTTGCCCGACTTCTCTAAACATCGGCGTCTAAGCCTAATACCAAAATTTAAATTTAAAATATATAATAAAATATATAATATATATTATTAAAATAATTCAAAAAATTTAAAATATATTTTAAATTTGAAAAAGAATACTCTTACAATCGGTCGCAGCTTCAGACTTCACAGTTCCTTCGAATATTTACGGTTGCAGCCACCATGTTTTTTTTCACGGCCCGATTTATTATATTTAGTTTAGGTTTGCTCAGCTTATCAAAATTCTGGAGAAATTAGATTAAAAATTTTATTTGTGGTTAAAAATTTTTTTGCCAGATTT